CTGCGGTGGCTGGGAGCGGCCACTGCACTCCAGTCTGGGCGACAGAGTGAGACTCCAACTCAAAAAAAATAAATAAATAAAAAGTAAAAAAATAATTTTTTCATAGAGACAGGGTCTTGTTATATTGCCGAGGCTGGTCTCAAATCTTTGGCCTCAAGTGATTCTCCTGCCTCAGCCTCCCAAGTAGCTGGGACTACAGGTACACACCACCATGCCTGACTAATTAAAAAATTTTTTTGTAGAGACAGAGTATCACTATGCTGCCCACACTAATCTTGAACTCCTGACCTCAAGTGATCCTTCTGCCATGGCCTCCCCAAATCCTGAGATTATAGACGTGAGCCACCCTGCCTGCCTGTTGTTTAATACCTCTTTATGTAGCATTTTTATGTGATGTTAGACTTCAGTGGCATATTTTGTTTATGCTAGAAAGGAGATCTGAGCATAAGTAAGCTCGTGTGAGCTAGCGCAGAGACGAATATCTGTGTAGGCTGAACCTGTTGACTCCAAGGGAGTTATCACATCTCTGTCACCTGGAAGCAGTGCCTCTGGTGGAGGCCCAGGTGAGGGGAGCAGGTGGCATCCAGGCTGCTTACCAGGACCCAGAGGGGAAGGCTGCAGACCTGCATCTGGTTGTGTCCTGCTCTTTTACTCGTTTTGGGAGATCTGGCTGGAGAGTTGTGGCTACCTGGGATGAGGCCCAGTTGACAAAGGACCCCACTGTCCAGCCACACCAGGTCCTCAGACAGGCTGCCCAGGAAAGGTCTCCCCACCTTTATGGTGTGATTCAGAGTTCTGAGGCTCTGGGGTATGCCTGTGGTTCAGGGTGACCCTGAGGGGAGTGCCGTAGCAGTTAGATGCCAAGGCCTCGTGTTCCTCCTCAGACGTGGTCGGGCAGCCGTGAACCCCAACTTCTTAATTTTTTGAATAGGGCAGCTTTCCTAGGGAAGTAGAATTAGAAAAGGGAAACTGTTAACCTCTGACTCTTTCTTGGCAGCGGCCCTCGGGACCATGTATTCATTTACTTCACGGACCATGGATCCACTGGAGTTCTGCTCTTTCCTAATGAATACGTGAGTTCCTCTTGACGCTGTAAGGACAAACCAGAAGAGACGCACAGCCTTTGTGCTGAGGTCAAATCTGCTGACACATGATTCCTAATATTCTATCAGGGTGGGTGTGTATGTGTGGTGGGTAGGCGTAGAGGGCAAGCTTACCAGCATGGACTCTATCCCAGGACATCTCTTCTGACTGGATAAAGCCATGTCCTTTTTTAATTATGTGGATGAACCCTTGAGATGACATTCTAGGATTGTACTATCTGCCATGATTGCTTCTAAGGATTAGTAGAAGAGAACTTCTAAGACATCATTAGGACTTGATTTGTGGTTTTTCAATGGTTTCTCTTGAGGTGTTGGTCTGAGTATCGATCTTCTTCCCTTTCAGCTGTACGTCAAGGACCTGAATGACACCATCTACTACATGTACAAACACCACATGTACCGAAAGGTGACTCAGCTTTGGGGCAGCCATTGGGCAGGGTGTGAGAGAGGCAGTGGATCTGGAGCTACAGTTCTGTGATCAGCTCTCTAGCAGGAGGGGCGGGAGGGAGGTGGGGGCATGGGGGTGTGTTTTCTTGAAGGGATGTCTTTCCAATCCCTGGTTCCCCAGGGTTAACCTTTTGACTTTAGCTATTAGATTGGCATCACTGGAGAGCTTTTACAGACTGTGGGCCTCACTCCAGAGTTTATCCCTCAAGGTCTGCAAGGGACCTGAGAATTCGCCTGCCTCAGTTTCCATGGGATGCTGCTGCTGTTCTGGGAACCACACCTTGAGGACCGCTGTTCCCTAGGACTGTCCCTGGTTTTGAGCAGTTAGGGGGAAAATATCCTCATTGTGTCCTCACCATTGCCCCTCACCCTGTAGCACCGTTGCAGAAGCAGCTGGGTGGGGTACGTGCATAATGGTGACGCAAAAGGTGACTTGTGTGTTGTTCACTCTTGGAAAGTGTTCCCTGTAGTGATGGTAAACGCCCTTAGCACTGAGTGACTCTGTTTTCCCTGGGTTATTTCAGCTAATAGATGACTTTATTCTATTAGTGCTGAATTAACTGGACCCCTGGTTTATGTGACAGCCGCCTCCTCCAGCAGCAATGTCTTCTGCAACACGTGTGGGAGCCTCATTAGGAAAGGCAGGGAGTGGTTGGGGATGTGAGCTTCGTGGTGATGCAGGGGGACATGCTGCAGGGTACACTCATCTGTCATCTCCCTGCAGATGGTGTTCTACATCGAGGCCTGTGAATCTGGCTCCATGATGAACCACCTTCCAGATGACATCAATGGTAGGTGGGGCTGGACTCTGAGCTGGGGTGAGCCACCTGCTCAGCTGTGATCTCCTAGTCAGACACTGCTGACAGGAATCAAGTGATCTCACAAGTAGAGCAGCATGGGAACAGAGGTGGGAAGGTGCTTGCAGAAGTTGTTGAACTCCACTCCTGAGGACTAGTGGACAAGGAACAAAAGCTTCATATGCTCTTCTGGATTCTAGTTGAGGGTTACTGGTCAGGGGGCAAGAGCTTCACATGCTCTTCCAGGTTCTAGTTTAAGGTTTGGCATGAGGGGATGAGAGCTTCACATGTCTTTCAGGTTCTAGTTGAGGGTTAGTGAACCGGAGACGAGAGCTTCGTGTAGTCTTCCTTGTTCTAATTCATGGTTAGTGGTCAGGGGACGAGAGCTTTCCATGCTCTTCTGGGATCTAGTTGAGAGTTAGGGATCAGGGGACAAGAGTATCATATGCTCTTCCAAATTCTAGTTGAAGGTTGGTGGTCAGGAGGTGAGAGCTTCACGTGGTCTTCCTGGTTCTAGTTCAGGGTTCATGGACAGGGGACGAGAGCTTCACATGCTCTTGTTGAGTAAAGTTGAGGGTTCGTGGTCAGGAGACATGAGCTTCACATGCTCCTCTGGGATCTAGTTGAGGGTGAGTGGTCCAGGAACGAAGCTTCACATGCTCTTCCAGGTTCTAGTTGAGGGTTAGTGGTCAGGGGATGAGAGCTTCACATGCTCCTACAGGTTCAGGTTGAGGGTTAATTTTCAGGGGACGAGTGTGTCACATGCTCTTCTTGGTTCTAGTTAAGGTTAGTGGTCAAGGGATGAGAACACCACATATTCTTCCAGGTTCTAGTTGAAGGTTTGGGGTCAGGGGATGAGAGCTTCACATGTTCTCTCTGGTTCTTGTTGTGGGTTAATATTCAGGGAATGATGTTGTCACATGCTCTTCTAGATTCTAGTTGAAGATTTGGGGTCAGGGGATAAGAGCTTCACATGCTCTCTCTGGTCCTAGTTGAGGATTAGTGGTCAGGGGACGAGAGCTTATCATGTTCTTCAATGTTCTAGTTTAGGGTTAGTGGTTGGGACAAGAGCTTATCATGCTTTTTCAGGTTCTAGTTGAGGGTTAGTTGTCAGGGAATGAGAGCTTCATAGGCACTTCCATGTTCTAGTTGAGAGTTAGTGGTCAGGGAACGAGAGCTTCACTGTGCCTTTCTGGGTTCTGGTAGGGATGGTGACATCGACTTCACATGGGTTAGTTTGGCTTAGCCTTGATCTCTTGTAATGTGTTGGGTACTTAACCTTCATTGATTCTCAGTTATCCCCATCTGTAAAATGGGGATAAAGATAATGTCTGTCTTTTGGGAGAGTTACTTCTTTTTTGAGTTAGGGTCTCGTTCTGTCACCCAGGTTGGAGTGCAGTGGTGTGATCATAGCTCACTGTAACCTTGAATTCCTGGACTTGGTGATCCTTCTATCTCAGCTTCCTGTATAGCTAAGACTACAGGTGCCACCATGCCCATCTAAGTTTAAATGATTTGATTTTTTGGAGGTGGGATCTTGCCATGTTGCCCTGGCTGGTCTTGAACTCCTGGCCTCAAGCAGCCACCTCTGCTTCCCAAAGTGCAGGGATTACAGGCAGACCACCATGGCCCGTTAAGAGTTGTTTTTTGAATAATGTTTGTCTAGCTCAATTCTGAGCCTACAACAGAGATAGTATGTGGTAGCTATTGGATAGGTTCCATCAATCTAAGTGGTTCTTCAATTGATATTAACTCTCTAGAAACCAAATTAGACCCATATTCTTCAATTTTCCAGAGCTACTAAAATCTGTCAGCATTCTCCTAGAATAGCCTAGTGTCCTAAGCATGAGCATTTGCTCATTGCTCCTTTTTCTTCCACACTTAATTTGATGAATTGCTGTAACCGAATGGACCGGCTGAGTCCAGTCATGTGTCCCTGCCTTCCCTGTGCTGGTTAATGGTACAAGCTTGGATTTCAGGGCGAACTGAAGCTCTAGGTGTAAGCCATGCAGGGCATATAGCATGACTGAAAGATGGTCTCTAATTCCTCTAGTTTATGCCACAACGGCTGCCAACCCCAGGGAGTCATCCTATGCCTGCTATTATGACGAGAAGCGGTCCACGTACCTGGGGGACTGGTACAGTGTCAACTGGATGGAGGACTCAGATGTGGTGAGTCTTACACTTGAAGCTTGAGCTGGGGCCCGGCAGAGCAGCTGAGGCTCAGCATCGGGCTTGGATCTCGAGGGACCTCAATGGTCTCCTCTTTGCAGGAGGATCTGACCACAGAGACACTCCACAAGCAGTACCGCCTGGTGAAGACCCACACCAACACCAGCCATGTCATGCAGTATGGAAACAAGGTGAGTGAGCTGCAAGCCCTGGCATCCATTCCTCCAGACTCAGTGCCTGCCCAGACAGTGCATCCCTGGGTGACGAGAAGCAGGACCTGTTAAGGATGGATGGGCAGGGATGGCTCTGCCCAATCGGCCACTTCATTCCGGGGACCCTGCAGGCTTTCAGTCAGGCCTCACTTGATTCAGGCAGAGCTGCGAGGCTTTGGGCAAGATACTTGGTCTCTCTGAATCTGTTTCCTCATTGGTCAGACCTTTGTGTTTTGAGGTGCCAGGAGTATGGATGGAGGCTGCGGCGTGTGGCATACACCACACACGGACCCAGTGCATGCCAGAGGCTGTTGACTGGAAAGTGTCCTCCTACGTTTAGCATCAGCCATAGCACCCACACTCAGTCCTGGCTCCCGTGGCTGCACGGTGCTCCTTCACCCCTTGGCTTAAGGTAGAAGCCTCAGGCACCTCCTGCTGTGTCTGCAGAAAGTTAAGGGGGTCAGTTCATGGTGCTGTTGGCAGGCAGGTTGCAGCAGAGGCTGTGATGGCTTGGGCCCTTGGCAGAGCCCTGGCCTCTGTGTGCACAACACTGTGACACACCCATGCAGGCCTCAGGCATCATGTATCCGGGCACTGTCCCCAGGCAGCCTCCACGCTGAGAGCTTGCCGGCCTCCTAAAACGGGCGTCAGTAGATGCTGCTGCCTTTGGCCTTCACCAGTGTGGGTGGAGCACCTTGAGCCGGTCAGCCATGGGGCAGTCACAGGACAGGTGCCTGCACTTGGCATGCATGGCCTGCTCAGCCTCTAGAGAGGCTGTGGAGAGGGAGGTGAGGCAGGAGAAGGCCGGGAGGGGGACATGGAGCAGATGCAGCCTTGGCATGTGGGGAAACTGCCTGGGCCTTGTGTTCTCGTCATGTGCTCCTCACACTGGCCACTTCGGATCCTGGCTGAGGCCTGTGATGAGTCTTTAGCGACTCTGTGTCTCTGTACCTGTGTGTGCTGGTTTTTTGTTTAGGTTGTCTTGCTAGCCTTGGAACAGGACGCCAGCAGCATTTCTTCCCTCTTATTGACAGTCTGTAGCATTTCTTCCCTCTTATTGGCAGTCTGTGGGAACATATTGGAGCATGGCACCTGTGCATAGTAGACCTGATGAGGTTGTCAGCCTGGCCTCTCTGGAGCTGTAACTCTGCTCTTTAGGGACGGGGCTAGTCAGGGTGAGCCATCAGTCTCTACTGTATACCTCCTAATCCTTTTAGGGATGGGGCAAAGGGGGGTGAGCCATCTGTCACCACTGTCCACTTCCTACTCCTCCTTAGGGACAGGGTGAGGGGTGGTGAGCCACTGGTTACCACTGGTTGAACCAACTACGTCCAAGCCCTGCTTGACCTTGGAGTAACCGTGTCTCCCACAGTTGAGAGAACAGCAGCTCTGCTGCAGGAGTGCCCCCTCTTTGGTAGCTTCTAGGTGCTTAGCAGCATTGCCTGGGTGCTCCAGGGTGCTCTCCTAGTCTTACAGGCACAACTGTGGCTCATCAGTGGTCCTGAAACCATGGGGGATGGACGGTGAGCCTACGGTGGAGAGACCAGGCCCAGTGTATGCTGGGCACATCTGTTCTTCCCACTCAAACCAGCTGCTCTCTTTTTCTCTCCATCTTATGTCCCTCTCTGCCTCTATCTCTCTCTCCCTCCTCCTCCTCCTCTCCTCTCACTCTTTCCCCCTCCTCTTCCACCCCTTCCCTATTGCCTACTTTCCCCCTCCCCACTTTCTCTCTCTCCCTCTCACCTCTCCTCCCTTCTTCCCTCCTGTCTCTCCCCCTTTCTTTCCCTCTCCCCTCCCTCCTCCTCCCTCTCCCTCTCCTTCTTCCCCTCTCTCCCTTTCCCTCCCCTGTTCCCTCTCACCCTTTCTCCCTCTTCTTCTCTTCTCCTTCTCCCCGTTTTCCTCTCACCTTCTCTCTCACCATCTCTCCCTTTCTCTTTCCCCTCCTTCTTCTTCCCCCTCCCCTCTCCCTCCTTCTCTCCCTTCCCCCCTCCTCCTTCCCCTCCTCTCTCCTCCTCCCTTTCCCTCTTCCCTCCTCTCCATCTCTCCCTTCCCTCTTCTTCCCCTCCTCTCCCTACCCCTTCTCTCTTCTCTTTTCTCCCTTTCCCTCTTCTTCCTCCCCCTTCCCCCTCCCTCTTTTCCTCCCTTTTCTTCTCTCCCTCTCCTTCCCCTCCTCTCCCTCTCCCCTCCCCATCTCTCCATCCTTCTCTCACTTTAGTCCATCTCTGGAATGAAAGTGATGCAGTTCCAGGGAATGAAGCACAAAGCCAGTTCTCCCATCTCTCTGCCTCCGGTCACACGCCTCGATCTCACCCCTAGTCCTGACGTGCCCCTTGCAATCATGAAAAGGAGACTGATGAGCACAAATGACGTGCAGGAGTCCTTGAAGCTCCTTGAGGAGATCCAGAGGCACCTGGATGTGAGTAGTGATGGAAGGGGCCATCCCAGCAGGTGGGCAGCACATGGGATGGTCCCTGCCAGGTGGGCAGTGGATAGGACGGTCCCTGCAGGTGGACAGTGGACAGGATGGTCCCTGCAGGTGGGCATCACATGGATCAGTCCCTGCCATCTTCCTGCCCTGCTGGGGGAAGGATGCTGGCCTTGTTCTCCACATGAGACAGTAGCAGGAATGAGCAGAGTTATCTCTGTTCTTTGTCAGTGGCCAGCCTTGAGCTCTCTGGTGGTAGGAGCTAGGGAGGGCCCATCTCCCTGATACCCCACCAAGAAGCCATGGTAGTGGGTGTTTCCCTCTCATATGCTTTGTTGCCTAGAGGACATTTAACTTTGCTGCTTATTGAGTTATTAGCTAACCATATTTATTTTAAAAATCCAGATCCAGGTCTCAGCTACTCAAGAGGCTGAGGCCAGAGGCTCAATTGAGCTCAGGACTTTGAAGTCTGCTCAGGCAACACGGTGAAACCCTCTTGTATAAAAAATATCTAATCCACAAGAATTTCCACCTACTCAGGAAAACATAGCTTAGAATTCCCCTTCAGATGCTTAAGCCTACCCTACTGACCTGCCTTTAGCAGCTCGACAGTGCATGTGGGCTGGCAGGTTACAGCTGTGCTTTCATAGGCATGCAGGCAGAAGGGCTGCCGTCCCCACTTGCCAGCCTGTGTCACCTCCATGCCTGTCATCAGCACAGCACAGCGATCAATGTACTGAAACATGGCCTGGATTTCCTAGGAAAGACCTTAAAAATGATGGTTTGTTTTACATGCGTATCTCTAATTATCTCAAAAGCTAGGACTTCATGTGTGACAACACTTTAACCAGAACATATTTTTAGCTGCTGTCAAATACAGTGGGGCGGGTGGTCCTCATACCTTTTAGTCCTGGGCCTCTTTATACTCTTCAGATTACTGATCCCAGAGAGCTTGTTTATGGGTTATAACTGTGTATTAGTATTTCCTGCATTAGAAATTAAAATGAGTCATGCCTATAACTAGCACTTTGGGAGGCTGAGGTGGGAGGATCACTTGAGCCCAGGAGTTCAGGACCAACCTGAGCAATACAGCAAGACCCCATTTCTACATAAATAAAAATAAAACATATAAAAACAAAAAGAAATTAAGTTGAGATAGAAGAGCCTTTTATTCCTATCATTTGGGCAGTTCACGAAAACAGAACCAGTTTCCTTGTGTGTCCTTGAACACCTGTGTGAATCATGTAGGGTTCCTACAGTAGTGGTGTCTGCTGCAGATTTGAAAATAGTCCCTGGGATACATAATTCTCACGAGATTTAAACTTTCCCAATACCTGTTGCATGATTACGCTTTTATGTAAAATAAAAAATTATTGTAAAAAAAATAGAAACTTAGATTTTAAAAATATTGAACTCATTTATTTCTAAATGAGCCCATTTTGTGTCCATGTACTTTTTGTGAAAAATGACCAACGTTCCTAAACAAGAGCTGCTTTGGTGGGAGGAGTGGCCTTCGTCACCTTGTGCCAGTCTTTCTGGTGTCCAGTGTGACGGGTTGAAGGGATTCTCAGGCCTGCCTCAGCATTTGCTGCTGGGCTCTTGCTTGCTGCAATGCGTGAAGAGCAGCCTTGCCAAGAGACATAGTGGAGAACAGGAAGATGGTGGCATTCGCGTGTGCCCCTACGTCCTGGACCCCATGCTGAGAGCTGCTGGGCTCATGCCCCATGGGCAGGCAGGAAGTGCTGGCTGGGGAAGGTGGCATGGAGCCTGGCTGGAGTTGGGTCCTGCTGCCACACTTTCCATGTCAGGATGCTGTTTTCCATCCTCTGGGAGGAAAGCTGTGCCCCTCTGTGTCTGCTGTCTCACCCTTGATGGCTTCTGAGTGGACCCTGTGTTTCCTCCTGGGACAGACTCTCCTTGGGCACAGGGTCTGCAGCCTCCTCTCCTCAGACAGGGCGCCCTGCTATGGCTCATGCCTATAATCTCAGCACTTTGGGAGACTGAGGTGGGAGGATCACTTGAGCCTAGGAGTTGGAGACTGGTCTTTAGATATAATGTATCTATCAAACCAGAAACCCCAGGGTGCAGCCTTTTGAGCTGTCTCCGGTGCCTTTCACATCCTTTGCCTTCCTCCAAATACACTTCCTGGTGTTGGTTCTGATCCCCCGCAAGCCAGGCCATGGAGAGGGGTCCCCCAGCTGCCTCTCGCCATCCATGGCCCGTGCTCTCAGTGGGGCGTGCTCTGACCAAGTGAGTGAGTCTCTCCTGTGTTCCTCCCAGGCCAGGCACCTCGTCGAGGAGTCGGTACACAGGATGGTCTCCTTGTTGGCGGCGTCCGAGGCTGAGGCAGAGAGGCTTCTGTCAGAGAGAGCCCCGCTCACAGGGCATGGCTGCTACCCCGAGGCCCTGGAGTACTTCCGCACACACTGCTTTAACTGGCTCACGAGCACGGTGAGCAGCTGGGGCCCCCTTTGTGGACCCCAGACACTGCCTTAGATGCACACCAGCAGAAGGATTCCATCAAAGCTAAGAGAGTGGTCCACATTCACTGACTGTGACTTTTGACCCTGGAATGCTGTCCCAGTGGCAAGAGAGTGGCCCTGACTCACATGCAATGCCCCACTCCTAGCTGGCAGGGCACCTGTGGTCCTGCCAAGACCTCTTTCCTGCCCTCGTACCAGTCACTCCTGTCGTCTCCCTTCTGGGCCTATTCTGGCCTCTCCCTGAGATTTATCACTGAAGCCAGGACTGGTCCAGGGAGGAGAAGGTACCAGGTTTCCTAGAGTGTCCTGAAAAACCTTCTGGGCGATGCTCAGGCCCTTCTAGAGAAGGATTGGCAATGTCCTGCAGGCAGTCCTGTCCACAGCTCATGTCCCTGTGGCCTGTCCTGCTGGTAAATAACTTTTTGCTGGGACATGCCACATCTGTGGGGCTGCCCCACTGTCCGTGCATGGGTCGGTGGAGGTCACCTTGCCCTCCAGTCTTCTGCTTTGCCCTTTGGAGTCACACCGAGTGAGTCCCCTCTCCATCTTTGTGAGAGTTCTTGGGTTCCGCCGAAGGACTTTGTGTCCAATTTGGCATTCATGCATCCTCCATCCCCCTCATCAGGGTGTCCCTCCCAAGATGAGGTTCACAGACTCAGGTGCCCAAGGGAGCCCCAGGGAATGGGGCAGAGCCACTGGGCATCCTCCACCAGGAGTCCTGAGCATGGTCTGCCAGCCTGTGTGGCTGTGCGCAAACCCTCAAACAGCCTTTTCCGTGAGAGAGTCCATGAATACCCCTGGGCCAACAGAGGATGGGGAGAATTTTATGCCCCAAATGAGGTGGGGCCACTGGTCAAATTGCTTGGCCCTTGAGTGCACGAGTGAGTGTTCCTAAGTCCAGGGTGACTGTGCAGGGAAGCGATGACAACTGCATCTGTCTTGTCTGTATTCTCCAGTTTGAGCATGCACTGAGGTACCTGTACGTTCTGGTCAATCTTTGCGAGAAGTCATATCCGCTCCACAGGTAAGTTGCATGGGGCATGAAAGGTAGGTGACCCTGCTGTCTGCAGGCAGGCAGGCTGGCTCCTGTAGCTCTGTCTCCAGCTTTGGTCCCAAGGCATTAGTCTGCGGGACTGGGTCAGCCACTTTCTCAGTGCTGTGCAGGTCGTTTGGGTGACTGTCTCCCCATGTGGATGACGGCATCTTCATTTCTTCAGAGTCGGCATCACTTACCACACCCCTCCCATCTCATGCAGGATAAAGTCGTCCATGAATGATGTATGTGTGGGTCGCCGCTGAAGGGCTCCTTCTGGATGCTTCTCCCAGTGTGTATGCCATTCCTGAATGTGCTGATCAGAGACGGAAGAGGTGGCAGAGGGGAGCCCGCTCTGGCTTTCCTGAGACAGCCCCTCAGGGCTCCCTTGGGCCTCTTTCCTGGACGATGTGCTGGCCTCACCCCCTCCCCATCTTCTCTGAGAAGCTGCAGATGTGGGAGGGGGGAGCTCTGTGTTAAGAGATTATATTTGCTTTCTGGGAGGGTTTTGCCCATGAGCTTTGAAGAGCAGAAAGTTCGTGGGGGCTTCTGAATCCCCTCTTGAAAAGCTTTTGTGATCAGAAATTCAAAACTGAAACCTTTTTAAATCTTCAGAATGATTCTGTTGAAGAGGCCATGGGCCCAAATGGAAAATTATTTCTACAAAATATGAGTTTTGATTGCTTTTGTATTCTATTCTGCAGTAGTGTTTAATAAAAGTAAAGATGTCTGACTGGACCTGAGTGTTGACCCCTGAACCCAACTGTGGCCCATGCTCCTGGCCTCTCCTGGGTCCCCATGCATCTATCTCTCCAGCCTCCTCCCTGTGTCCTGTCCTGGCCCCTCCAGTCTCTCCAGCTTCCTCCCCTTGTCCCCTCCTGGGTCCTCATGCATCTATCTCTCCAGCCTCCTCCCTGTGTCCTGTCCTGTCCTGGCCCCTCCAGTCTCTCCAGCCTCCTCCCCTTGTCCCCTCCTGGGTCCTCATGCATCTATCTCTCCAGCCTCCTCCCTGTGTCCTGTCCTGGCCCCTCCTGGCTTTCCAGCCTCCTCCCTGGAGTCCTGTCCTGCCACCTGTTGTTTCTGTCCTCTGTGCTCAGGGCACTCTCCCATCTCCTGCACTTTGCTCCCTGCTGCCCCCTCTCCTGGGATACCCTTCCATCGTCTCCACAGAGCCTCACTGTGTACCTTCAAGCACGTTTTTCCTTGATCCTTCCTCAACTTCTCCCCATCAAAAGTTGTTTTAATTTAGGATCTTTAAGATGGAGAGCTCCCTTCAATGATTGGAGGAGACATGAAATGGAAATGAAGTTTATAGATCCGGGGGTCCACAGCACACCTGGAGGCCATACACACATGGGTCAGGGAATGTGTGGAGAGAGGGAGGGACTCATGGCAGCACCTTTGTTGGGTCCAGGGTGTTCTCCAAATAGGTTTCTGCATCTTTATGATGTGGGCCAAGAAGCCTGTTCCCCTGTGACCAGAGTTGCTTCTCTCTTTATTCTTCCCCCCATAGAACAAAAGTATGCATACTCATCTAATGAATACAGAAACTTCGGCCAGGCATGGTGGCTCATGCCTGTAATCCCAGCACTTTGGGAGGCTGAGGCAGGAAGATTGCTTGAGCACAGGCATTTGAGACCAGTCTGGGCAACACAGTCATCTGTACAAAAAATTTAAAAATCCTGGTGTGGTGGCACATGCCTATAGTTCCAGCTACTCTGGAGGCTAAGGTAGGAGGATAGCCTGAGCTCAAGAGGTTGAGGCTGCAGTGAGCATTGGTCATGCTGAACTGGAGATGTCCCTGTGCCTCAGCAATCTGACACTTCAGACCACACAATTCCTCAGTCCTCTGGGGTGCAGCCACATGACGAGATGTGGACCCTGTTGGGTGCACAGGTTGGATACCCGGTCCCACCTGTGTTCTCAGCCACACAGCTGGCTGTGAACAGCCTCCACGACTATTTGTGCAGGCTTTGAGTTCACTTACCTTCTGGAGATCTGAGACTACCCCGCCCTCCCCTCTAGGTACATGGGTGGTTCCTGCAACAAGCCTGGAAAGTCATGAGGTCACAAGCACTCATTTTAAGAAACAGGCACGGAGCTGCAGAGGGCCTGCCCAGGGCTTGTGGCCCCCAGTTCAGGTTCTTTTCACCACACAGCAGAGTAGGTTCCAACCTTGAAGCCGGGCAGATACCAGAACTCTCGTGGGTTAAGGGCTGCGAACAGGTTGCTCCTGGGGTGGGGGGTGCGGCAGTATCCCCCAGGTGGGGAAGAGGGAGAGCCATGCAGGGACTGGCACCTTCTCCCAAGGCTCTGTTTCAGATACCTCCAAAGGAGGCCTGCTGCCGGCCTCACCTGTCCTGCCGGTGCAGGGAGGATAGCCCGAGCAGGAAGGGCAGGCCCAGCTGCAAGTGAATGTAGGGTGGGCGGGGATGTCCACACTGCATCCAGGGACCCCATCTCCTCGCAACCTCCCACCTCGGCCCCTGCTCCTTTGTGCCCCTTGCCTGCGGGCCTGACCCGGTAGGAGCCAGCTTGTCACCAGGCAGATATGACACATCCCTTTGGGCTGCCCTGGGCCAGACCTCTCCAGGGCCAGGTGGAATGGCTCATGACAGCAGGACTTTGTGCCCTCTGGGGGCTCCCTGGCCTCTCCTGATGGGTGGACCCAGCACTGGCCTCAGGGTGGGGCCTGATGCACACACACAGGCACACGCACATGTACATACGTGTTCCTACAGCAGCTCCCCCCTCTCGGCCCTCTGGGCGACTGGTCCCTTTCTGGGAGCCAGGACAGGGCTGGTGTCTCATCTACACCTTGAGCCCCAGCCCCAGCCATCTGGGCAATAGGTTGCTTGGAGAGATGGGGTTCCTCCCACCCACCTTCCAGTTGAGTCATTTGCTGTGTGGCCCAGCCCAGCCCAGAGCCAGCATCGGAAGCTGAGGATGGACTGTCTGGGACTGTGGCTGGTCCCCTGGTGTCGGCCCATCCCCTCACACCCGCGGTGCTGGCCTCCAGGCATAGCTCTGCCCCTGCCTCTCCCACTGGGCAGGCCCAGAGCTGTCTGCCATGTGTTTGTTGACTGGTTGAGTGCTTGATGCCCAGTCCAGCTGCTGCTGGACACCTTGCTCTCAGCCACTCTCACTGGGGCTCCTCACCCACTATATTGTTCTCTGCTGATTTCCAGGACCTGGAAGAGTATGAACATGCCACAGGCACAAATACCAGTTTAACTAGTCCTGAAGTCAAGCGCTAACCACTCATGGTGGAGAAAGATGTATCGACAGCCAAGGGCCATTGGACGGGGTCACTCTTGTGAGAGACAAGTCCAGTGGGCTGTGGGGATAGGGCTGTCTGGCCCAACCTGGGACTTAAGGAAGGCTTCCTGGAGATGGGCTTTGAAGGATGTGTAGGAGTTGACAGGTAAAGACCACGGGGCATCATGTTCCAGGGATAGGTGAAGTGGTGCTGACCTAGAGCTTGGAGTGATGGAGTTGAGCATGGTGGGAGGTAGAAGTGCAGGCCGAGGGCGGGCACAGAGCTGGCAGGGGACAGTCTCCCCATCTAGGAGGGCCTTCTGAGGCCACCAGGAGGAAGCTCAGGTTGTGCACAGGGCCGGGCAGGCTGTGCAGGGCTCCAACCCTTCCGAGGAGACACGTTTCCAAAGGCTTTTATTACACACCCCTATAGGGCGTCCCTGTAGAGGCTGTACCGGTGTTCCCTGAGGAAGGCTCCACCCCTTCTCCCAGGCAGGCTGGGCTTGGCTATGGATCTCTGGAGCAGGCTTTGTGTGGGCATCCCAGGCAACACCTGGCTGGTCTGGCAGAGATGGGAGGGGGTGGGGGTCTGTGCAAGGGAGCCCTGTCTCAACACACCCTGAGATGCTCAGGAGACACGAGAGGGGAAGGCCCAAGACTTCCCAGCTTCCTTCTGAAGTGCCAGGAGTGATGCAGCAAGTCCCTGGAAGAACCAAGAATGGGAGAGGTGGGAGTGGCCTGCGGGGCTCCGCGCTGCAGGGGCTGAAGGCCTCTTCCCCCGCAAGCCTCAGTCTCCCTTTCTGTCTAAGGATGAACATGGCCTCTCAGTGCTATGACTCCTCTTCAGGAGGTGCCCCTGGGCCCACCCCATGTTGCTGTCATCTCAGCATCCTGAGATGGCTGGCCTGGTCCCCCAGTGGGTGCAGGTGTGCGTTGGGTGGCTGTTGTGTGGGCGCGAGAGTGGGCAGCCAGCCGCGGGGAAGTGCCCAGTGCCAGTGTGGGGGTGGCGAGGGACACACCCTGAGAAAGGGGGTCACAGGAAGTTGGGGTCCCGCACCACCAGGCAGGGCGGGCTGCCGCAGTCCAGGGGCCGGTAGACGAAGTGGAAGTCGCCGGGGCCGCTGCGCAGCAGATAGCCCTTGATGCGGTGGGGCAGCGCGTCGTCGGCCAGCTGGAAGACGCGCCCGGCCACCTCCACGAACAGCCGGTGGTCCTGCGGCCGCGCCACCTGGAACCTGTCGGCGCACTGCGCGCACAGTTCGCGGGCCGGGGTGTCCGCACGCGACGCCAGCGTCCGCGCCTGCTGCTCGGGCTCCAGGAACGACACGCAGATGAA